AAAAGACTGTGCATCAAGTCACACGTGCCATCACTCAACTTGCTGAGCACATATGACTAGTAGATCAATTACCCTTGTTACAACTCTTTCTCCTTTTCATAAGCTCAGAAGAGAACCTTTATATCTTTCTTTTACAATTAGACCTCACTCCTCTCTTAAAAGACTTCTAAGACTAAGGAGAAAGATACTCAATAACTTAAAAGAGTTTACATACTTTTTTTTCTCAAGAATTTGTTTCTCTTTCTACTCTTTTTCTTGCTATCTCAAGTAAGAATGAGTGACATTTTGTATGCCCCAAATAACTTAAAAATAAAGGTAAAAAGTTAAATTCCTAGGTGTTTGGGGTATTGGCGATACCATGGCTTGTACTAGGTAGTACCACCGCTAACATGGAACCGAGTTTTTCGAAAAAATATATTTTATACTTTCCAACTCAGGCTTAGTGGTGTCATTGCTTGGCTTAGTAGTGTCATCGCTTGGCCTAACTTCAAGCCATTGAATTGGCCTTCTAATAAGTCTAATTCAAGCTCAATGGGCCCCTAATCAAATTGACATTATTATACCTAAAATCAACTTAATTAAAACCTAAACTACTTCGATCAAGACAAAATTATTACAAACATGAATCCTACGTTGTTCGGTATGTAATTGGTTCATCCGACACTTCGTCCAAACCTTCAGCGTTATCGTCCTCTCTTTCGATATATTGCTCGATCCACCGATATGTTGACCTTCCGCAACATCCGATCTTCTTAATGCAATTTCTGATCCTTCTGGCTTGATGTTCGAACTCATTGCATCTTCCAGCACATTGACCAATCCTCTAGCCCGACATCCAATCGCTATCATGATCCATTCCGACCCAATTCTTCTGCTTTAATCGATTTATATTTTTATGATCAAAATTAATCCTACTTCGTTCAAAAGCTCATTAGATCTTAACTTTATCAATTGATTTTATAATCAAAATTCGAGATTCAAAGCTATATTAAACAAAAAAATTTAAAGATTAATTTCATTGAGTACCATCCTAAATTATACTCCAAAAGAAAATATATATAAAAGCAAAAATAGCTTGAGCACATTATAAAAGTAAACATGTATTTTGTTTACTATGTTGGATGATGTGCCATCCGAATTATATGCAAACATGAAAAAAAAAAAAAAAAAACCCTCTAACATTATATTAGAGTCATTGTTGATTACTTGCCCGTTCTCGTGTACCGATAAATGAGTTATCCTAACTTAAAAATGATACCTAAGAGTAAAAAGAGATTCTCCTATTTGATAGGGAAATCTCACATAAGCGAGATACCCATATCTAGGAAGGGCACCTAGGGAAAGGGAGGTTCCCCTACTTAATATGAGTACTTCAGATGAGAGGGCTCCCTATCAGAGTAGATCCTCAATAAGAGAGATAAAAAATGGAGGAGGAAAGTTAAGTTAGGGGTTTAGAAATTTTGATTTGAACCAATTCATTATGAATTCATACCAAACTAGTATTGTTTAACCAAAAAAGGTCCTATTAGATTTGTTTGCAACCTAACTATATCAACTATAAAAACTAAGGGTATATATGTCAATTCATGAAAAAAAAAAACCATCCAATAATTTTCAACAGAGAAGTGCTTTCCTACAAAAGGTGATTATGAGGGGATTTCTTTCATAAATTACCCAATATTTGATGTATATATAAAAACGTCCATCTCAACTGTGTCCATAAAAAATCTGCATGTATCAGTGCGCGAGGTTTTCCGACCTTGCTGGATCATCCATGCTTTGTACTTGTCTAATCCTCGCACGTCGAGTCCACTGTTGACCGGAGGACATTCCCAAGTTGGTCCGTGATGGGTTCAGGCCAACAATATGCTCTTGGCAAGCTTAATTTAGTGTGCCACAAAAGATTCCGAAGCTCATTTCCCAAAACAAGTCTGTCTGTTCATGATAAGCCTTTTGTCTCAGCTGGCATTTCGTGTCACGCCTTGCGAGACTCTGGGTTGATGTGATTGGAAAGAAGCCCATTGATACGTTGCCGTGTCAATGGAGTTTGATTTGTTAGAGAATTGCTGATCCATTTGAGTCCATTGCATCACCAGGAAATGGGCCTTTCCTTTCTGCTGTCCAATAAAACGATCAGATTTAACTTGAAGCACTGAATTGCTTTCAGATGGTCATTCTACTTAACTTTATTGTTCCAAACAGTACGCAAATGTGTTGTTGTAATGATTATTTTACCATGGTAATTATTTCAAACAGTACATCTGGTGTTCTTCAGAGGCTGTTGTGAAAGAAATCTGACAAACATCGAATCAACTATAATCTTTAAGAAGATTAAGACAATTAAAGACAGATTTGGAAACAGTTTCGTTCAGATTTGGGATGGATCCACTAATTTGGTTTGCAATAAACAGACCCCACCTGCACCCCATCCAAGTCTGGTGGATGTCAACGTCCACAAAGGTGAGTTAGGCCAGTCTTGTCCCAGTCTGTCTCTTTCCATCTGTGTGATCTTAGATCTGATCCCTCCAGAAGCTAAACATTGACACACTTCCTGCAACATCTTCCCTTTCTGAGAGACGGATCGGATGTGTAACCCTTTTTTTTTCTCCTTTTAAACCGATGTGTAACCTCTGACTACAGCAACCCTCATTAAATCCTCTCCTCTCTTCTCTGTCTACAGAAGCAGCAGCAGAAGACCTGAGACTACCTCATTGAGGTTCGTTTGTTCTTGCTTCTCTTTGGGTTTTAATGTTACATATAGGAAGGATTTTCTCCGTGGAAACTTTGGATTTTATCTGATTTCGAAATAAGAGAAACTTTTCCTTTTTTCCCCCCTTCCCTTTCTCATTTTTAGGTGTTTTTCTTCTTCTTTTTTGTTTCCTCTCATATGTATACTGGAGATCTTCAGTCAGTGGAACAAAGAGACGAATGTTTTGGGATATTCATGTTTGTTTGCTTTATGAACTTGAGATGATTTTGTGCTTGAAAGCCAAAGAAGAATTGTGCACCTTTGGTATTTGATGCTCACATCATTATCAACCCACATTCCATCATCGCATCAGATGCAATGCTCTGGTCCTGAGGTCATTCTTTCTACCTGTGGACAGGCACTCCAAGGTTGAGAGATCTTGCGGAGGAGAAGCACCATGCTGAGGCAGGTGTCCAGTAGGAACCAGAGAGGAAAAGGGGGCTTCAAGACGAAGAATGTTCTTCACGTCTGCCTCTTGGTTGCCATCTGCGTCTGGTTGCTCTATCAGATGAAGCACTCTCACGACAAGAAGAAGGCATACGAGGAAAGGGTGTCAAAGCTCTCATTCAAGGGCGGGGAGAAGCGACTTGACCTCGCAAGTTTCGGTAGGAAGTATCTCCCGCACACGGTCGAGACAGAACCTATACGTGAGTCACAGATCGAGGAAGAAGATGATGAGAAGGTAGAGCATGAAATCAGGCGTGAAGAAGCCGGTGATGAAGAGGAAAGCGGTGCTGGAGATCACGAGATAGACGGAAAAGATCAAGAGGGATCCCAGAGGGAATCTGAGCATGGAGAAGAAGTTACTGCTGCTCATGAAGAAGGGAACAAGGAGGATCGAACAAAGGGAGTGGATGGTCTTCAAGATCGAGATCATGAAGAGGCGTCGCACAAGGCTCGAGAGATGAGTTTTAGAGGTGATGATGCTTCCAGTGAGGTGGTCCATATCACCCAACAAGTAGAGCACGAAGAAGGGTTGCAGGAGGCACGGGAGAGGAGTTTTAAGGGCGATGATGCATCCAGTGCTGTGGCTCATGTGCCTCAAGCGAACGAGCCAGTATCGGAATCTGAAGATGGAGGATCGAGGAACCTGGATGAGCCTGGATCACAGAGAACAGAGACAAAAGATGGAGAGATTCAAGATGAAGATTCAAGTGCTCTCACTCAGCTTGATGATTCAACAGGAAATGATTCGACTGCCATTCCACGAGGAAGTGAGCCTTCACATAACAACACTGTCTTCACGAGAGTTGTGTCTCCCCAAAAAACGACCACCGGCGGCGAATCTGAAACTCACAAGAAGCAGCAGCAGCCTGATCTAATTATCATGAGTGTCATCAACAACCAAACAGACAGCGAGAGACACTCAACAAACATGACGGGCAATGTAGTTCGATCGCAGACAAATTCGACATCTTTTTCGACAAATCAGATCAATTTTCTGAAGAATTCTACTGCAGTATCCATAGATGGGGTTGCAGCTAAGGCCAACCTGACAGCAAAGTGGGATGCAAATAATGTCACGGCGTCACAAAATCAAACGACTTCCACGCATTCAGTCGATGGACGAACTAATACAGTTGAGCTAGAAACACAGGAACCGATAGAGAAGAACATCACGGTTGCCAAGCCAGAGGAATCTGAAGAGAGCTACAAGAATTCTTCAGCGACAAATGAGAAAGTTGTTCAAGGCAATTCAGTGCATAGTTTGGTCCATGGAGATGCAAATTTGCCAGGCATCCAAAACGGAGTACACAAAGAGGCAGCTGCCGAGACATAATAGGAATGGAAGGTGGATGGATCTTTAACAGTGTAATTGGCTGTCTCGTAATTGTCATTCGATCTCTTTTCTTGCTTCCTGAAGCTATTAGAGTCACTTCTGTTTTCCTCCATTATTATGCTGCTGGTTTCTGCTAGCAAATGGTTAATTCCAGGGTGTGCTGTGGGTTAACAGTGATGTTGAAAGCAGCAGATATCATCATCATCTTCCTGTTTCTCTCTTCTTTTTCCCTTTTTCGTGGGTAAGAAAACAACCTATTGTGTTGAAAGCAGCAGATAAGACAGCTCAATCGCCTTGCACTTGGCCTACTTGGGTCCATTGGCCACACAATTACCACATCCCGTAGCGATGACCACTCCCTTCTTATCTTGTACAAAATAACCAAAACCTACAGTAAAAGATGAAAACAAGAATGAGCCATCACCGATAATAATCTTCTCATCCTCCTCTATAGGATAAGCGTCTGGGTTTGACAAAAATCATTTGTATAGGCCATCACCTTGTAGCGATGGAAGACAGGCAGCTCAGATGGTGGCGAAATACGACCCCTTTGTTTTTTGAGCCAATGCATCCACAGGAAAGTTCCTATGGAACTACGCAACGACCAAGCCAATGTCTGGGTAAATTTGATCCTTCATTCATTCATCCATGCTCTCCTTGGTGCCAGAAGTCAAACATTTGAAACTTCGAATTGAAATTATGCTCCACCAACTCCGGTAATCTTCTAGCAACTCTACAAACTGGACACACTTCTATTTGTGATCTATGAATTTTCGCAAACAATTCCGAGGTTGGCAATCGCTTCCACAAGAGCCTTCGTGGGAAAACTTCTACTTTGGGAGGGCACCCAAGCCTCGTACTTGTTCTTTTGGCAAACAGCTAAAGCTTGCCCATTTGACGAGGGGGTCCAGACCCATCTGTCTTGCTCAAGAGCTCGAGGATTTTGTTGGATCTTCAGGATTTTATCTCTGAAAGGATGATGGAACACAACATCAAGGAGATAGCAATTTCCATTCATAACCCACAAACGAATTGGCAACTCAATTCAACCTCATCATACCATGTACATTGACAAAGATAGGTCATTTATTAAAAGATATGTTTGATATCCGAGCATCAAACATTTTCAATCAATTTTTTAAACCCTTTCCTAATATTCTCAAAGGTTCTGATGAAAATAGATCTGGATCCAGAAGTTTTAGGATAAGGATTCAAAGGGTGCCAATTACCATATTTTGTAGTAAAAACCTTCACCCATAACTTATCTTCATTATTGAGAATGGGTAAGATCTTTTACCCCAACTAGTTTCATAATTATCTTTGGGTCCCTAATCCCAACATCTTAAAAAATCCTTATGGCAAGTTATTTTGTTTTAAGAATAAACAAAATAAGGATAAATCTTTTAGCTTAAGAATAGAATTAATAAGAATAAACTTTTTAGCTTAAGTTATTGAGTTAAGTATCCTTTATATCATCTCTAAATCTTATTGGTAGTTTTTTCCAAAAGAATATTCTAATGACTCTTATTAAGTCTCCCATTTGATATATAACTAATAATAGAAAATAGTTAAAAATATCAATCCCCTTTCCACCTAATGCTATGGATGTCGATGACACCTTTGCCAATCAACTCGATTCTGTGCTATATGTATAGGAGTCAAAAAATAACTAAGAAGATGACTCAAGTGCTTGCTTGAGAATTAATATATAAAAAGACTAAAGTCTTTGATCTGGTCCCTTCGATACTTAAGTTAGAGCCAAAATGGAAAGTAGAGTCATAGATGAATAGTAATTGACTTGGGTAACAATAAATTAATATGCTTTTATAGCAAGTTAGGCTCCCGATAATATTCCATAATATGAGTAAAATATTCTCTTCTAGGATCGTCATTGTTATCAAATCTGGGTGGTCACCATATCATCTGAATCCCGCTCTTTATGTTGAACTAGTAATAGCCACAAGCTATGTTTGGAGGGAGAATTCTCACCCTATCTTGTACCCACCCACCCAATTGGAAAAAAAAATTAGTATTAAGATCACCTTCCCCCACCCATTAAATCTTAGCCTTAGTGCATCACTAATGAAGTTAACGATTAAGGGTTAAAATTTTCTTATAAAAATAAATCAAAGTTTTATCAGCCTTTTCAATTATCCCGAAAGGTTATCCTAAGACTTAAACCTTAATCTCTTTATAAGTCTTCCCGATATTATGCTCTAAGCTAGCCTCTAATTTATTTCATTTGTCAATGAATCTCCTAAGAGTATTAAGGTTACTATGCATCTGATCACGGTGACACTTAGTATTATAAGGATTGTTCCAAATATATTTAACTATATTCCTAAGATGATGGTTATTAGTCCAATAATAATCAAACCTAAATATTTTACTCCTTTTCTTACCATAAGCACTGTATGGTTAAACATATCAAATTAGCGAACATGATCTAATCTAGCAGAGATTCTTGAATACGAGTCTTTGAAAATTAAAATCAATTATTTTGACATTAAAAATAAAGTTTCTAAAATTCATAACAAATTTAGAAAAATAAAATAGCTTTCCTCCTAATTTATCTTTAGGATGAGAAATCATATTCATATCACTATAAACAATTAAGGCACCTCAATGAATTCATAAGATGTAAGAATATTCTAAATATTCTTTTGTAAAACATGATATATACTTACATAAATTATAGTAATGATAAAAAAAAAACTTATGGAGTTGAATACTATGTTTAAGAATTGTTTGTCTCTATTGATTGTTCTTGCCTACAGACGCTCCTTGTCCCAGCCTAGTAAGATCCTCCCAATCTCCCCTCTGTCTCAACAAAACCAGTCAATCAATGTCTTTCAAGCTTCTTTAAGAGTTATACACTCCCCTCTTTCTGAAAATGAGTCTCCAACAAAGCGATTACAGTAAGATTATGCTCCTTGATTAAGTATTTAAGTTGAGCCAAACAATCCTTTTTGGTCACCCCCTTATAATTCTAAGATAAGAAATTCATAAAATCAGATTAGAAGATTCAATCTCTAGAACATGAGGCTCGGGATCATTGGGTTTTTAAACCCTATCCCTTTGCAAAATACTATTTTTTTTCTTAATATGATGTTTAAGAAAAATAAAAAGGATTAATGCTTCAATCTTATTCCAAGCTTTATTTTCTTGGCTATAGATGACTCACGTCCACCAAGGTCATCTTCCTCCGGAACAAACTCGGGCTCCATCTCAGTTGAGTGATTCTCCAAAACACTTATTCTGCTTTTTCTTGTAAACCTCCATCTCTGAGTTTAGATGGATAAGGGCAGAGAAAGGATAAAGATGATGAGAGCATTCCACACCATCACTTCTTTTCTTGTATCCTAAGCAAAGAGACATTAACATTGACGTTACATGTCTTGGAACCCCGCCCTTCTACTACAGGTGGTGACAACCTACAACTGCTAAATAGCCCTTTGAAAGCTTAATACAAGGTTTGACCTAAAAAGTAAATCACTATTTGGGTCCATTGCAATTCCCTCGGACTCATGTCTTCATTGAAAACACCCCATAAACCCTCTAATTGGGCTTGGCCTATATAATGTGGTCGAGTATATAATGTGGTCGAGTGAGATCTGCCCACTCTCGGACTCTTATTGTCTCGTTTCATTTTGGTCATGGAATCAATTCGATTTGACCATAATGAGGCTTTCTTTGGACCCTTACCTATGATCTATATAGTTTCATCTTTAACTTCCACCTTATTATCAGAATCCTAACCTTCTCTCATTGTATCTCGGATTCTCTTATTTCATCCTATTTTAGCATGTAAATATCTTATGACCTACTCTTCCATGATAGAAGTAAAAATTTAGTATGTTCTCATAAACAATGGACTGAAAAAAATTAGTAAAACTAATCATTCTCCATAATCCTTGAGGAAGAGTTTTAGATATATTCATAGGTACACGGATTTACATGTATTTTCCCCACGGAAAGTAATATTATCCAGCGTAAAGGGTCTTTTCACTAATTTAGCTAACTTGTAAAGAATTGTTGAAAAAAATGGATAAAAATATATGTGGATATAGACAATTAATTATCAAAATTTTTTCTCCCACTCATATGAATATGTTAGGAACACTAGAGTATATGAACAATGAACAATTAAATCACAATCAAACACACAAGAATATCGATATTTTTTTATGTCGAAAACATAATGTGAATGATAGAAATCATAGGACCTCTCTTGGTCCAAATCAAAATCTCCACTATGAAATTATTATTCATAGTAATAAAGATTCACAAACGAATTTGTTCTATAATAAATTCAAAACCCACAACTCAAATACTCGTGAAACAAAGATAGAAATCACAAATGGTAGCTAATGTTAAATTTTAGAAAGTATTTGCGGCATCTAAATGCAATCTTTGCCATTCAGATTAAAGAAACACTAGTCTAGAACATGCTCACCAAAAATCAGTCAAATCAAACCACAAATGATAGTCCAAATGCTAAATGAGATGAAATTATTCAAAATAGAAAACTAGTAGAATAGTCTTGGATGAAGTTATTGAGAAATCTGGGGCGACATCACATGGAAGAATAGAAAAATAAAATCCTAAAATTCCTATATAAAAGATGGTTTCGTTGTCATACAAAAGTTAGTGCATAAAAACCCGTAAAATCGAAAAACTAAGTATAACAGAATTATCTAGGGAGATCATATATCCCTGAAAGCCTACAGATATATGGGAGAGGATGAAAAAGATCAACTATCCTCCCCTCTAATGGTGATCCACATGGCAGGGGCTGTGAAGATGCTCCTCAAATCGCTACCCAAAACTCTTCCTCGCGCGCACCATATAATCAAGAATGGGCTGCCCCTTCTTGGGATAGGATCTCATAATCCTTAAGGAACTAGGTGAACTCTATACTCAAGTACTCACCTCCTCGATCTGATCGAAGAGTCTTGACACTCTTTCCAATCTGGTTCTTCATTTTATTCTTATACTCTCTAAATTTCTCAAAGGCCTCGGACTTGTACTTCATCAATTACACATTTCCACACCTTGAGAAATCATCAATAAAAGTAATAAAATATTAGTAACCACCTATGACGTAAGTTGACATGGGTCCACATACATCACTATGTATGAGTTCCAACAGCTTAGTGGCTCTTTCTCTTGTTCTA